ACTTGGTTTGAGCGCACAGGTCTCAGTGAGTTTCTCAAGACTTCTGTCTTTAGATGCACTGCTGGGGATCTTGTCAGAGCCCCTCGTGTTGTGTGGACTTGAGGGTGAGCTGAAGTAGTGGAAAGTGGCAGCCCTGAGCCTGGTTGTCTGATGTAACAAAGCACACGCTAAACACGATGCTTCGTGCTTCACCAAGGAGGGGCTGGGCTGCTTGCTTTGCGTTCAGTTTTAATTTCATTTTTAATACTGCTGAATGCTTAATTTAAAAAAGTGCTTTTGGTAGGCAAGAGTGCAGTGCCCAACTGCACTGCAGATCCAGTGTGTAGGAGTTTAGGGATTATGTTATATACAAGTGAAATGATTGCTTCTTTTTTCACTCCCTGTTTAAATATAGTTCAAATTATGGAATATTTAGTAGAACAGAATAAGCTGTGGCTTGCCAGCTTTTTCATACCAGTGGTTACCAGATGCTTCTGTATTTGAAACCTCACCATCTGTTACAGGGTGGAGTTTGGGGGTAGTCTAGGTGTTTGGATGTGTCTTCCTTCTTGGGTGTCTGGAAAACTTCAAAGCATCTGTTTGGAGATGAAGGGGAAGCACGGCTAGCTGTAGCACTTCAGGAATTCAAGGCAACTTTACAGAAATGGATTGCTGCTTCCTGCTTTGGAGCCTGTCTTTATTCAGTCACTGAAATGTCCAGGAGTCTAATAAAAAGAGCAATGTGCAGCATCTTATGGCTTACTCACCTTCCTGTGAGTAAGTGCACATCCCATAAGGAGCGAGGTGAAGGTGGGAGAGGACTTGCTGGTAATTCATAGTCATCGAATCATGGAATTGCAGAATGGTTTGGGTTGGAAGGGACCTTAATGATCATCGAGTGCCAAGCCCTGCCATGGGCTGCTCACCACTCACAAGATGAGGCTGCCCAGGGCCCATCCCACCTAGCCTTGAATTCACCTGGATAGACTTGATTCCTACAGAATGACTCTGCGTGACTCTGAATGTTTCATTTTTGAGGTAAGTGTAAAAAAATGCAAAGGAAATGCAGGCAAGGTCCACAAAAGTGCAGTAGAATTGCTGCAAGTGGTTACAGACACGCAAGGTAGGAAGGCAACACCCTCTGCCTTCGCCCTCTCACACTGTGCAGCTCCACCAGAGCCTGGAGGGACTTGCCATACTGAAATCGGTGTGCAGTAGTTTTGGGGATGAGCAAAACCATATTTGGGTCAATAAACTGCTGGTGGAAAATAGTCAGTGCTAGTAACAGCTTTCAGTCGCTAATGATCTGGGACATGCTGGGGGAGGAGGAAAGCTGCATGTCTCATTACCCATCCTCTGAGCCATCTGGTCTCTCACGGTTTATTTGTAACCACTGTCCTAATCTCTCTTAACTACATTGTTGCTGAAATACTGAAATTACCCTTTTAGGCACTGAGGTTCGCCAAAGATAATAACCTAGTCTGGTGATGTGTAGTTCTATAAACAAAGCATAATGCAATCATTTAATGAATTTTTCCAGAATGTTTATTCTTCATAAAATGTGTGGCAGTGCAACTTGACATACTCTAAGTGTGATCCATAATATTACATCTTACAACCTTCTGCCCCGTTTCTTTCCTCCTTATGTTCTTTCTTTCAAATATCTAGCTCAAATAAGATACACTCATCGGGCCTCTGTGAACAAGGGAACAGACATTTCTGTTCCTCGTGCCTTTTTACTACCTGGCCGTATCCTCAGACATCCCAGCATCTTGCTCAAAACTTTCACTGCTTTTATAAACTTATTTTCTCCTGCCATCATGATCTCGTTTCCCTGTGCAGGATGCTAAGAGTTCATTGGCTTTGCTCTTCGGATTCCAGCTGGAGCTGCACTGGGTCCAAGCCTGAATTAGCATTTTGGAGGAAAAAGTTCTTGTGCTTTATGCCTGTGTCCATTCTTACGTTAACTTTTCAATTACAGGTTCATGACATGCTCTAGCCCTTGCTTCACTTTATGCCCAGCAGTGGAGTGTATTATTAACAGCACTTCTTGTGCCCATGGGGTCTTCATGAGGTCCTTTATTTAAGCAAATGAGACGCCTTTGCCTATTGCTAAAATGCAGCTGCTTACATTGCAGAGCCTGGCAGCTGCTCCAACAGTACCAGACCATTGCTTTTATGGCATAAAGGAAGGAGAAAAAACCAATCCATATTCACTCAAAACTGCAGGGAGAATGTAACCCATCCAAATGTTATTACTTAAGCTGGAATTTGGCCAGCATTCCAGATTAATTACTCCTCTCTTGTGAAGCATACTGTGAGATACCTGAGGGACAAAAGCGGTCAGAGCCTCAGCAGAACTGAAAATTTAGCTTTCTCACGTATGTGTAGTTGTCCCAGTGGGGCTGGGAGATGTGTATTAGAGATGTGTTTTACCTGTTCAGCACCAAGAGCACCCTGGGGCTAACAAGCGACTGAATCCTGTGAAATCTGATAGGACTGTTGAGGTTAGGAGTGTGGTCTAAAAAACATTCCACAAGGCTTGTGGAGTCTGCAGGTGGTCAGGCCTTAGTACTGTCTCCTGTGGAAGGGAGGAGAAAGAGGTTAAAAAAGTTTTGCCAGAAGGACTGTAGCCTTCTGGCAGGGAAAAGATGTAAGTTTAGTCTTCCCCTTAGACTGTTACTCCCTTGAAGAGGAACGGATGTTTTCCTGAGGTTTATTTCAGGCCATGGAAGTATGCCATGGGGCTGTGCACTAGCTGGCTCTGAAACTCCTTAATACCTGCTCAAAATGACTTGGTGTAATCTACAGCAGAGGTGAAACGTTAACGTGTTGGAAGTGAGAAAAGCTTGCAGGGGGGATGAGAAGCAGAATTTGGTCCAGATAAAGAAAAATGGTTAAGTGGAGACTATTCAAACAGAGAAGAGGGCACGAAGGAGTGATAGCATCCACGGCATTAAATTGCAGCTAGAGAGACCTGGGCAGGCTCAATGCCTATGCCAACTTCGTAAGTTCAACAAGGCCAAGTGCAGGGTCCTCCACCTTGGTCGGGGGGATGGAGAATGGCTTGAGAGCAGCCCTGAGGAGGAGGATTTGAGGGCGTCTGTTCACGAGAAGCTCAAGATGAGCCAGCAATGTGTGCTTGCAGCCCAGAAGGCCAACCGTATCTTGGCTTGGTTGGATCAAGAGAAGTTTGACCAGCAGGTTGAGGGAGATGATTCTGTCCCTCTGCTCTTGTGGGACCCGACCTGGAGTACTGCGTCCAGTTCTGGGGGCCCCAGCATAAAAAAGCTGGGGATCAGGACCAGAGGAGGGCGACAGGACAAGGGGTAATGGCTGTTAACTAGAAGAGGATAGATTTTGACTAGCTATCAGGAAGAAATTCTTCACAGTGATGGTGATGAGACACTGGAACAGGTTGCCTAGAGAAGTTGTGGGTGTCCCCACCGTGGAGGTATTCAAGGTCAGGCTGGATGGGCTGGAAAAGACAGACTGTTTCTGAGAGCCTTAGAGTACCTATTCCTACCCCTTCGTCCTTGTCCCCTGCTTGTAGGATTGTATTTCAATGTCTAACAACAGGTAGCCTTGCTCCCCCTCTCACCCTCACCATTTTTTCAGGATAAAAGTTAGTTTCTCCTTGCATGCTCTACATACGTGTAAATGACTGTTAAAAAAGTGCAGAGTGGTGGAAAAGTGGTTTCTCGCAGTTTTGAAGTGCTCACGTTGTATTAAAGCGAAGATTCCTGAAGATACGCCACAGTTGCCACCCTTCCTGCTGCTCCTATGGAGGTAAACCTGTTTCTTCTCTCAGATCCCTCAGTCCCTCACAAGCTAACAGGTTTTGTGTTTTGGGGTGAGACTTGGTACCCATAGATATGAAGTCCTTTATGGGGCATTAATATATATGTAAAATGAAAGCACATAAAGTAATAAACAAGAAGTACTGAAGCTGCTGGAGTTGGCTTTCTTGTAGGATGATGGCTGCCACCATTCCTTGCCTTTCTTCTCTTTATTTCCCCACTGCTTTGTTACTTGTTTTTTTTTTTTTTTTTTTCCCCTAATTCTTTTGCTTCAATCTTCATCTTTTGCATGGTATGTTTGGTACTTGTCTGCATACGTTTGATGTTGCTGCTCTTACTAGGTGCTGTTGGCAATGTAAATGCTGTTAAGAAGTTAAATCCAGAAATTATATTCTACATCACTTTTGTCCAGACCGAGTTTTAATTTCTAGTATTAATCCAAACTGTCCAGCTTGGATCTTGAGGCAACTCAGTAATGAAATCCCATCTGTAGTGGTCTGGCAGTACTCATAAGCAGGGCCGGCATGTACCAGCATCCCAAAACACCGTGGTTTGTAAAACCCCTTCTGCTAGCAGCCATCTGGACATCTGTGCAGAGAATGCGCCACCTTTGCAGTCCCCATGGTGGTTTCACCACAGAGCTGAACTCTCTGTGCGCACACTCAGCCTTGCAGGGGTGCTGGAGCCAACTCGGTGTGCTGTGGCTAAAGCTTGGGGTGTGTTTGCCCACGCAAGGGCTGCGTGGGGCACTGAGCGGACGCAGACCCATCATGGCGGCTCCTCGCGGAGGAGAGCAGGCAGGGCAGCACGTGTCCACCTTTAGGCGGGAAAAGAGCCTCCCCGCAGTGCGCATGCGTGGTGGCCAGCGAACCCCTCTGGACTGGAGGGCGGCGATGCTCCGCCTCCTGCGACACTTCGGCTCTTCTCGGTAGTTTCCGGAGAGAAGTCTCCTCCTTCGCCGTCCTGGCTCCCGCCCCTTTAGCCCTTCGGCTGTCTCCGTCCGTGGTTCGGCTCTCTCCGCTCACCCTTCGGAACGGGCCGTTAAGTTCCGCCGCCACTTCGGCAACTTCCGCCAGTTCGGTCGGAAATGGCCGAAGACGTGAGAGATCCAGCGGTTTAGGGTAGAAGACCGGCCGGCTTTTCGGAACAAACCAACTGCGCCCAGATCTGGAGGGGGGGGGGGGGGGGGGCCGGGGGGGGCCCCCGGGGGGGGAAGACGAAACGGAGGCTGTGGCTCCCCCCCCAGCCGCTCGCACCGGGCGCCGGCACCGCGGTTCCGCCGGGAGGGTGAAGCGAGGGCTCCTGGAGGTAGGCTGGAGCGAACCACGCGGCGGGGGGAGCGCAGGGGGAGCGAGTGTGAGAGAGGGGCGGCACGGCCTGGGGGAGACACTGAGGGGAAGGCCGGGCGGGCGGGGTCCCTCGGGGATGAGGGAGGAGGTGGGGGTCCCGCAGGGAGCCAGGACTCCATCCCGCGGCTCGGTGATGAGGGGGGCTGAGGTGGGCTGAAGCTGCGAGGGGCCCTAAAGCAGCCCCTCGTCCCGCTGTGCCTCACGGGGCCGCCGCCTCCCTGCTGCTCCCGCCCGCTGCCCCCGGCCCGAGGTGGGTCTGGGGGCTCGAGGCCTAGCACCCTGCTCGGCCTTCAGCTCTTTGCTGAAGTTCAGCTTTGTGCTGGGCTTTTTTCCCCCCCTCCGATTTCCTTTGGCGTTCCCTACTGCTTTCGACCTTAAAAACATTCGACCTTAATCAAAAAAACCATGGGCTAACTAACACATTAATGCCCAGCCCCCGGTTGTGCCCTAAGCCAAACGATTTTGCAGCTGGAAGTCGTTCAGTGGGTGTTCAGGATACACAGAGGAGCAAAGCATCCGCTGCAGGAGCGCCTTTCTGCCGCTGCGTGTGTTATAAAGCAGCGAGTGCGTCTCCCTGCTTGGTTTCTGGTCTCTTGTTGCTTATGCATGCATCTGATAAGTGTGCCTCGATACCCTGATATGATAGCTTGGCTTCAACATTTCTGGGTTTCCGTGGGGCAAGTCTGGTATCTGTAAGTAGGAGATTAAATAACTTCGTTTCCTGAGTTGTGTGTCACGGGCAGGTCGCTCTGACTGATATTTCTGCTTTTGTGGAGAAATCTGTGTGAGATGTCAAAGTCTGACGCACGCGTTGCAAATGTGTTTTGATTGATATTTCTGTTATAGGTGAGATAATAAGGTTCTTGGCACATCGGGTGTGTTTTCAGGCTTTAGTAAGTAGTGAATAATCCAAAACTTCTTTCTATGCAAAGGTAGCATCAGAAATGAACCACAATCTGAATTTGGGGTGATGGGAGAAGCGTTCCCCCCACAAGCTCCCCTGGCTTCATGTACCATCTGAGGGTCACAGAATCACAGAATGGCCAGGGTTGGCCATTGAACCTCAAGGATCACGAAGCTCCAACTCCCCCCCCCCATGCAGGGCCCCCAGCCTCCCCATTCCATAGCAGCCCAGGCTGCCCAGGGCCCCATCCAACCTGGCCTTGAACACCTCCAGGGATGGACGGGGCATCCACAGCCTCTCTGGGCAGCTGTTCCAGCACCTCACCACTCTCATAGTAAAGAACTTCCCTCTGACATCCAACCTAAATCTTCCTTCCCTCAACTTAAAACTATTTCCCCTTGTCCTGCAGTTATCACCCCTTTCAAAGAGTTGATAAGAGGGTTCTGCTGTTACTCATGGCTTTACCCATATTCACTTAATGGCTTTGTGATTTCTCTTTTTTTTTTTTTTTTTCAGTTTTCATTCCAGAAACCAGAGTTTGCATCAGTTCAGCTCAGTGTTAAGAGATTCTAGAGCAGGGGTAATGGGCTGTCTTCATTTGAGCACGGCACAGCCAAATTCTTCTGGCAGCTCAGCTGGGGTACTGACAGTTCTTGAACTTCTTGATGTCTCTTTGCAGAAGGGAAGTCCAAAATAGTTTTCTGATATTCTCTAGTTTTGCAAGTGGAGACTGTTAGCTCTCATGTTTGTTTGCATGCGAGGATGGCTTTTGGCAGTTGTCAAATCAGAGCAAAAGCAGCAAATGTGCAAAACAAGAAAACCACAGTTGTTGAAATGCTGTCGTTGAGGCTGTTTCTCAGTGGTACGCGGCAAAATTGGAAGGCTGTTTGTGTGCTGTTAAGGTGGGATGGGAACAATCATCTTCCCCTGGGTGTTTGTAGCATGTCACTGTTCAGCTGTGTTATTAGGGCTTGTTTGCTTGTGGGGAGCCAGAGGCCACCTCGAATCTGCTTTCTGTGACTATTCAGTTTTGAAATCCCACAGTATCATCGTCATAATGTTTTTAGGGTTTGCCTTTCTTTTTTTCTTCTGGCTCTGTGTATTTGTTCTCTCCCCTCACGATCTCTGGTGCCTGATTTGCCTCCCTGCTGTTTGACTCCTGTCACCTTCCCGTTTCCCCAGGGCATTCCTTCTCCTTCTCATGCCAATTCCAGCGGGCTGGGAGATGCAGCTAACCAGATGTGCCAGCGATTTGAAGCCAAGATCACTGTGGTCAGATGTCTGTTGGTTCCTAGTCCGGAGGCAGTTTTTCTGCTTTGGAAACCTCACAAAACACAGAATTGGAAAGGACCAACCGATCACTAGATCACGACTCCTCACCAGCAGGGAGGTTTTCCCTGTGCTTGTTGTCTCACTTGCCTACCTGTTATCTGTGCTAAATACCCCTTTTTGGGTCATGCACAGACAGAAGCAGCTCTTAACATTGGGGTTTTAACCCAAGCTAGAATTTTTGCATTGCTGTAATGAATGAATCCTAACCCAAATGGAGATCCCTATGACCTAACCACTTAGCAGGCAGAATACATGGGGGTCTGTGAAAAAGACAAGCCGATACCCATGTGTCAATTCAGGCATGGGACATTTCGGTATAGTTAGTTTGTATCTCTGCTGGAATGCAGCTGCTGGGGTAGCGTTTGCAAGGGATTGGAGGCACGCAGCAGGGCCAGACAGCTGTCCGTACAACTGCCATTGTGCTTGCTGGGCTATGGCTGCCCTGAGTGTGCTTGTAGCCCTGTGGTTGCAATTTAGACATATCCTCAAAAGCAGAGCCCACAATTTTCTTCTTGGACAAGTCTTTTAAGTGCTGTTTACTGGTGATTGTCGTGGTTGAGTTGGCTCCTGCAGCTGAGATGTCTGATTCTCAGATGCAAATAAGGTGGATATTGCCTGAAAAGAGGTGCAAAGCCAGTTTGAGGTTTTGGGGTTTGGTAAGAAGGATGAAAGCAGAAGCGTATATAGCTCTATGGCTCACACCTAATTGATCCCTATCTGGCCTGGGGTGTAGGAAGCCCTGAGTGCTGGCCAACCAGTAAATAGGTGTTATTACACAGCAATCACAGGCCCAGTTCTGAAGCACAGATTGCAATCCTGCTTTTGTGAAATCATTGCTGTTAGTTAATTGATGTCTGCTACCAGCAGGAGCCATTTAGAGGACTGACTAATCTATTACAAATGTCTTTGAAAGGGCATTTCGTAGTTTTTTCCTTGGCTTGCTGGACATTTCTTACAGGATTGTGACAATTTTAAAGCAGGTTTCAATGCATGTTTTTTAATTCAGTGTTTGCTGACAGTTTGATCTACCTTGGCTTTTATGTAAGGAATGCACAGGTGTGCTGTGCTCCCTCTGCTGGCATCTGCCCCTGCTCACTGGCAATGGCTGGCGGTGGGTCTCAGGGCTGTGTGGCATTCACAGTGACTACAGAGCAAGCAGTCCCTTGTTGGTCACAGGGAGTGGAATACAGAAAAGAGACTTGTCAATGAAGAAATGTAATCTTTTCTTGTTGTCCAGGGGAAGGGAAGCTGAAGGCTCCCACTAATGACAGTGACCTAATAATGATTTAGGACAAGGGGGAATGGTTTTAAACTGAGACAGGAGATGGTTAGGTTGGATCTTAGGAGGAAGTTTTTCCCCAGAGGGTGGTGAGGCACTGGAACAGGTTGCCCAAGGAGGCTGTGGATGCCCCATCCCTGCAGGCATTCAAGGCCAGGCTGGATGTGGCTCTGGGCAGCCTGGGCTGCTGGTTGGTGACCTGCACACAGCAGGGGGTTGGAACTGGATGAGCATTGTGCTCCTTTGCAACCCAGGCTGTTCAATGAGTACAGGTAGTTTGATGTAAAGGAGTTTCTTGCACCCTTACCATCAGTTCCTTAGATGGTTGGGATCTCAGTGCATGGAGTTGGCTGTGTGTGTTTTTCTGCCTGTCCCCTCCCCTCTATGAGTTTTGATGCGTTTTGCTACAGATGCGAGCATACCGAGGGCAGTATGAGAGCATCCCATGAATGCAGGAAACCCTGTCAAGTTTCTAATACAAAGTGCTAATAACATTTCTGTCTGTACAGGTAACACTGTTGGTTTTTTTTTCCTGCATAGTTTCCAGCTGGTTAACCTTTTACCTGTCTTGTTTCATGAAATGCCTTCCCCATGATTCAGAATACTCAGAGGTGTCTACTTACCTGACGTTCTTCTCGGGGATGCTGGCAGCACACGTAGCCTGAGGATTGTTCCCTTCCCGTTGTGTTTTGGTGAGAGCACTGCTGTGCTGAAGCACACGTCCTGACAGCTGGCTCTGCAGGATGAGCTTTCTTACTGTTTTGTACTACTTTGTGTCACATGAAGGCATTGTGGAGCTGTGTAGTCATCTCAAATCTGCGCCAGTATGTTGGTCATCTCTGTATTCGTTTGAAAGTGAGTTCTATTGGAATGCCAAAATGTCATCTAGCAGGAAACAAGTTGTTCCGTGTGTGTGTGGTTTCCATTAGGGGACGCTTTATGGCAGGTTGAGTACTTTCCAAGGGCAGTCAAAGAGAAGATGAATTCATTTGGCAACTTATTGTGGAAATTGGACCCTTTGCTTATATAAAGGTAGCACAATTAAAACCATCAACACCCTCCATTACATCGTGCCATCAACACGTCCTAACTGCTTTGCTTTTCCTTGTCTAATATGTACCACACCTTGGGTCCAGATTTGGATGTGATGGAATAAAGCACGTCACTGAATGTGGGGAGGATTATCTTCTCCCTCCTCGATTAAATGCCTTCGCATCGTATGTAATGCCAGAGCACATGGGAATGGGATTTGTACTCGTCTTTTAGTGCTTCTGTTACAGGCATGAGGAAGTAATTATAGTGCAGGTTTGTTCTGTGCAGTCACTTAGTGGGGAATGATGTGTTCTGGACTGTGTTGGTGCTGCTGCAGAGTGCTGCTGACATGCAGATGGCTACTGCAAAAGGTTGGCATAAAGGCATTGGAGCTCGTGACAGGAAGAGCTGC